CGTTCGGTTCTCTGCTAGAGTCTTCCAGTGCTTTTCGACGCTGACCTCTTCGCCAGTGTTGATTTGTGTCTCGGCTTTGTCTTTTATACTTGCAGTGAAGATGTCCTTTGTGTCCTGGTCCTTCAGTTTTTGAGTGTTGAACTTGGCTTGTGGTCTATCTGCAGCTCCTGTTTCTCTGAAGGCTTTTAATTTGATTTGGATTGTCCCTTGTACGAGATAGTGGTCTGAGCCAACGTCTGCTCCTCTTCTTACTTTCGTGTCCAGTAGGCAGCGCGTCCACTTCCTTGAGATTCAGATGAAGTCAATTTGGTGTTTGGTTCGTCCATCTGATGACACCAATGTAGCCTTGTGGATATGCTTTTGGTAGTATACACTGCCACCAATCACTAGTTCATTGAAGGCGCGGAAGTCGGCGAAGAGTTCTCCGTTTTCATTCATTTCAACGAGAGCTTCTCTACACATGATGAGTTGTCCTCCTGTGTTGTCTGATCCCAGTTTGGCGTTCATGTCTCCCACTAGTATTTTAATGTCACCAGCTGGAGTATTGTCCATTGTTGCCTGTAGTTGTCTGTAGAATTCTTCTTTCTTTTCGAGGTTTGCGTTGTTTGTCGGTGCATAGCATTGTATAACTGACACTTTTCTTCCTTTGAAGTTCAATCTGGCGGTCTTTATCCTGGGCGAGATCGCCTCCCATTGCATGAGGCCCTTCGTTGCCGTTGGTGACATCATGATAGCCACGCCCTCAGTGTGCATGTGGTTACCCTCTGGGTGAATGGAGTAGATCACTGACTCACCCATTGACAATTTGGTGAGTCTACGTTTGCTAGGTTATATTTCATCATTACAACACAAAAACAAGTTCGACGGCTATTTTCCTCTTATCACTAATGCATACTAATACTATGCGCGACCGAATGAAATATAACTGAAACACTTCATGCAAGGCTTGATGACTCACTGGGGAAATAATAACGATTTACGAATTTGACGCATTTCACACAAGTATTAATTACTACGTTGCCTATCATTCTCATCAACTATGCAATGTCCTCGAAATGATAGATAAAATGATACATGGTAAAAGGTCTGCCAAAAATCCATAAGGCTAATGTGCCCTTAAGACCCACACTTACAAAGATAAATGCACCATGCCACAAACTAGTTCGTCGGCTAGCTGATTCATTGAAGCCAATTCGACAAAAATTTGCACACCATAGCTTGAGTGACACCTTCCAATTTTCTAAAGAAGTAGACCATGGTGACTATATCAAATAAACGAATGGTGTCATACGACGTGACTGCCTTATTTACAAATGTACCAGTGATGGAAACAATGGACATCATTTGTAGACAAACAGATCTATTGCCATTACAGAAGACAGAGATGAAGCGTTAACTAATTCTTTGCACAAAAGAAATCCAATTTAGATTCAATAACCAATTCTACTGACAAATTGATGGGGTCGGCATGGGTTCACCTCTAGGACCTATTCTAGCCGACATCTCCATGGGTTATCTGGAACAGACATGACTGAGCGATGCTATCAATGAAATAACGTACTATCTTCGATGTTTCGATGATACGAGTCAGGCATCCATATTATTTCACCACCTAATGAGATCCACCCAAACATTAAATTCACCATGGAATATGAACACAACGACGAGTTCAATTTCCTAGACCTAAATGTAAAAGAAGAAACGATGGAACGGCAGAAAAGTCCAACTACTGAGTAGAAACCTGGACTGGGCAATACCTTCACTGCAACAGCTTCTGACCTACAAGCTATAAGCGGGGATTAGTAAGGACTCTGTACGACATAGCCAGGAAATTATGTTCACCTAGCAGTGTAGGAGAAGAATTAAGCTTTACAATTAAAAGCGTTCTCTGAGCTGGTTGGTTTAATCGCGAAGCTTTCGTCGTCCTTCCGGACAACATCTTCAGCGCCATATTTAGCACGAAGTGAAATGATTTAAATTTCCTCATGCGTGATGTAATTGCGTCTCCTGGTTACTATCTTCACATATGTATTGACCACTTTCTATTGACTAGGATTTTAAACTTTTTGGTCACCTGATTTACTTTTTATTAATTGGTATACTTCATCTATATTAACGTGTTTGTTAATCGCATTTTCGCTTGAGTACCAAGCCTCTAGGAATTCTCTGGCACTTTTCGTGTTTCCTCTGTTTAAGATTTTGACATGATCCCAATCAATGATGACCATAGTTGTCATCAGTTTGATTGGGATCATGTCAAAATCTTAAACAGAGGAAACACGAAAAGTGCCAGAGAATTCCTAGAGGCCTGGTACTCAAGCGAAAATGCGATTAACAAACACGTTAATATAGATGAAGTATACCAATTAATAAAAAGTAAATCAGGTGACCAAAAAGTTTAAAATCCTAGTCAATAGAAAGTGGTCAATACATATGTGAAGATAGTAACCAGGAGACGCAATTACATCACGCATGAGGAAATTTAAATCATTTCACTTCGTGCTAAATATGGCGCTGAAGATGTTGTCCGGAAGGACGACGAAAGCTTCGCGATTAAACCAACCAGCTCAGAGAACGCTTTTAATTGTAAATCATCCACCTGAGCTACAAATCTTCTCTATTATTTCAGAATTAAGCTTTGTTGAAAAATGCCTTAAGGAAAACGGGTATCCAAAAGGATTTATCGTAAAGTACAGCAAAAGAAAGATATGAGAAAGAGAAGTATCCCACAGTTGGAAAGAAGGAAGTGTTCATTTGCCTCCCATACAAAAGGGAAAACGTATTGAAAACGATTGACAAGGGGATGAAAGGAGCATCCAAACTGGTGACACTATACAGCACTACATGCTCTATAAGCCAATCGAAACTGGATAAGTACCCTACTGATGTTACCTCCAACTGCATTTATAAATTAACGTGTATCTGCGGCAGCGAGTACATTTCAAAGACAGAAAGAAGGGCTTCTATCCATTTTGCAGAGCATATTCCAAGGAACTTATGCCTTGAAAGAAGCAGATATTTATAATATGCAATTACCAGACACCTTGTGGATACAGGTCATTTCTCCGAGATTTCCAAATCCCTTAAAATATTAAACATGCGAAGGATAGTGAATTTACTACGATTTGCTGAAGCAATTGTAATCAAGCGTTTCAGACCGAATTTATCCACATAGAAAGAGAGTGTAGTCAATCTCTCAGTCCCTTAGTAACCGTATTACTTTTATTACACTGATTAGTCATACACACTAGTGAGCTCAACTCAGTGAGCAAGTTTTCAACTTGATAAACTTTAATCTTCTTGAGTTGCTATGTAGACTTACAAGCTAACACTGCTTATTGAAATTTTCGATTTCTCTATCATAGTTTCACTTCTGCAAAATGCAAATATTACACAACCGCTTGTCTAGCGCATCCGTTGCAACCCCTTGAAAAACACTGAACGTTCAAACTGTAAACCCCTTTGATTAAGTCACCCAAAAATATTCGTTTTTCTCTAAGTGGATTCAATGCATATCACATCTTTGAAATTTAGACCTATATTAATTTGTTCCCTTAAGCTGAAAAATATAATGTCTATCTGATTTAATTTTTAATATTTATTTCAAAGCCCGCCTTAGAAATACTGAAGCAGAACTTCTCCATGGACGGCTTTTGAAATCTCTCAGTGAAACACACTTCGCCACCAGCCTACAAGTAACGTTTTCCTGCAGGAAACTATTCAACCAACACGTGAAAGATAATCTGTCTCATAGGGTCACTTCAACATCCAGTTCACTTACTCGTGTGGAACCAAGTACATTGACCGTACTATGCATCCACTTGTAAAACGCACCCGGGAACACTATCCAGCATGGTTAGCAACGGTATGAACAGTTCGGTAACAGAACACCTGGTGAATTCAGGACATTCAGCTCCATTTGAAAAGTCCTCTGCAGTTATATAAAGGATGCAATCAAACCTATCACAGGAAATGAAACCAAAGCATCTAGGAGTAGCTGAGTCACTGGCGATCAAAAAACTCAAGCCTACGCTGTGTATTCGAAAGAAATACGTCCAACCGTTGTCCCTACTGTGGTCATCATGAAAGTCAGTTCCACTAATAATAATTACCCAATTACCTTCATTATCCAACCTTCCTGTTTATTTCTGCATTACTATATTTGGTCGCTGTTTATTTTTATACATGTTCGCCCTCTTACCTATTTTGTTATTACTACGTCATTAATCCGTAATTTGTAAGAACAGTTAAGTTTTTCAATAACTATGATCTTATCATGTCCTTCCTACCCGATCTTCCTGATTATTACACTTCGTAGTTTTATTAACTTAACCTTTGACCGGAAATAATTCTGGAACTTTCTCAGACATTTACTATAGATACACGAATGTACAGCTGTCTAGTTGATGATTTCGCCGGAAAGAAAATCTTTTCTTCTCTGCGATTGCAGTTTCAGTGATTCCTATGATCTAATGTTTGCATTCCATGAAGTGAAAACGCAGAAATTTTTTTACTATGTGTTCATCTATTGTTTGAAATAAAGCCTCATAATTATTATTCTTTTCAAATCCATGAGATGCTCACTAGCGATTGGCTCTAACCATTTAGGTAGTTCCCTGGGTTCCAGTGGGATGTCATGACCAGTAGGGTGCAGCAGGTCGAGTGTGAGGACAAATACTCGCCATTGATGACATCGGCTAGTGGTCGCGCTATATCATGAATTGCCAGAAAGTGGAATTTATGCACTGGCCATTGGGTCGCGCCTCAGTGGCTGAATGGACTGTGAACTCGCCTTGTAACCAGAAGGTCCTGGGTTCGAACCCTGATGCGGGTGCGGACTGCTTAAGAGTCCCAAACTATGGCGGGGGAAACCTCTGTCCAATACTCCCAGTTCCTATTCCAATGGTTCTCTAACTGATGTCAGCTCATGATGAAATCCTGCAACCACTTATTACTACTACTATTATTATTATTATTATAAATACGACAACGCGATATGTACCACAGACAAATTTTTATTCAACAAATCTTACAGTTTTACTCTAATTAATATAGTCACAAATTATTGTGAAATAAATAAACAGGTTCTTTTTTTTATTGATGTGATAATGATAACCTAATCAAAGGAAAACAAAATACAAAACATGAGTAAAGTTGAGAAATAATCATGCCATGGATAGGGTGTAGACTTCCTAATTTCTTTTTAATGAGAATAGACAATAGGTATTACCTAATAGGTATTATTGTTTATTGATTTTTTGATGATTCGATTGTATAATGATGGCACTGCACGTGGTCGACGTTTTTGATTTGATCGATGAGTACAAGCACCTTTCCAACACTGAAATAATAAATAATAATAATGAATTCAATTAATGGCAAAGTGAAACTAGCACAGCTGAAATCACAGTGACCCTGAACGACCAATCAGAATCCAGACGTCAGAAAGTCGCATAATCGTTGAAAAATGTACTAAAAACAGTTGTAAACATGATATTACACTATACAGTTGTCGCTTATGTGTTGTAAGAATATCTCCCAGTCGCTACGCAGATGATCTTTTGAGAAATCATACCATGAGCGATAAAGGCATTCATCCAGGTGACTGTAGGTCATGGTACTTTGAGATCCATTGATATTTCTGACACTGTTCTTCAACTTACTCCTACCTCTAACCATTATGACAACTTCTAAACCGAACTTTAATCCTAAGCCTTATTCTTAAAAGCAATAACCCTACCTAACCGTATAGATTTACAGAAAAAGTACCTAGAGAATAAGTGGAATACTGTATCTACCTTCTCCAAGTCCAAAAGTGTAGACAATATTTGATTCTGAGAGACCTTTCGTAGCGTTCCCTCTGTTTCATTGGCTCTTGAAGGTCAATTTAACTTTGGCTATGATAAGTTAACTTCGCCCAATTCACTTTCGCTAAGAGATTATTTGCATGGAGGATTTCATCATGAGCTGACATAAGTTGGAGAACCACTGGGAAACCTGGGAGTACTGGATAGCTGTTTCGTCCTAGTTAGGGAGTCCTCAGCAGTACGCAGTCACCGGGGTTCGAACCCATGGTCTTCTAGTCACAAGGCAAGCTCGTAGACCATTGAGCCACTAGGACCCCATCCAGTGGTCCTTGAATTCTAACTTCTGCCAATTCCCTACATAACGCGACCATTTCGTAATGTCTTCTTCGATGAGTTACTGCCTCATCTTCAACCTGCTGTACCCTACTGATCACGGCTTCCATTGGATCAGGTCCCAGTGGCTCAATGGTCTACGAGGTTGCCTTGTAACCAGAAGGTCCTGGGTTCGAATCCCGGCGGGTTCGTACTGTCGAAGAGTCCCAAACCAGGACGAAATAGCTGACCAGTACTCCCAGGTTTTCCAGTGGTTCTCTAACTGATGTCAGCTCATGATGAAATCCTCCATGTAACCAAAAAAAAATCCCTACAAAACCAATACTTAAAAAAAAAGATTATTTCCCATATCAATTATAAAACAAGTTTCACTCATCGTTAGTGTCAGAAATTTGAAGAAAATTATATTTTTCACTTATCCAGGCAGTATGATTTTGGTTACAAGTGGTGACACAGATCAGGGTGTCAAAACCAGTCAGGAACGGAAAAGCAAACAAGACAGACATTCAATCCTGTAAAGTCAATGTGGGAATCTACTATACTCATCATAAACAACATGATCAGGATTTTTAACCTTAACAGCTTAGAGACTTGATACACGCATCACGGCAAGCGTTTCCTACAGACTGTCGAAGAATTCCATCAACAATTGGCGTTCTCACTTGATACTGAAGGTCAGATGGCCAACTAGAAGGGATTAGCAAATAAAGAAACTTTGTTAAGGAATAACCCAACAACTTTATAACCAAAAATATACGTAGAAGGAATTGGAGATAGAGAACAGCTAAACTCTATGGAGACCATTGAATGGTTTCACGCACTAGATCCTCAAATGGGACCAGAATGAGAAACGGCGAGTTAGGTATCTATTTGAGGATGACATGGTACAGATCATGTGATGAGAAGGTACTGAGGGCTTATGAACAGTTGAAAAAGACTTCAGAAATGGTGATGCAGTACGGAAACTCCGTGCTCCACTCAGAAGGCAAAAAAATGAAGCAGTAAAAATAAAATTTGTGGAGTGGAAGAGAACTATCAGGGTATTGGATATCGGAGAATTATAAATTAATTTTAGAGTAAATTTAGTCCTGGAACACTATAAACTAGAGAACTCAATGTAAAACTATAGATCATTGAGCAGGTGTTTCTAAAATATTAGAGAACATTTCTAGCTCGGGTGGATGTATACGATGTCTAATTGCTTTCTGTGGTGCATGATTTAGCTGCTTTCGTTACTGATTGGGCACTAATCAGTAACTAGTGTAATGTGTCTAGTCCTTTGTTTGGTGCAGACTGAACTCTATCAGCTAAGTTTGCAATGTGGCCATCATGCCAGTAGATGGCTCGCCATCACGGTGCACTGTGAATTGTTAATATTAGATAGTTAGACGCAAGCGGCAGGAAGCCCTGCTTGGACCTAGATTTCATGCTAGTTGGCACACACCAGTCCACAAAGTGTAACTGCAGCGTTCAACGTCGCCAATCTGCCTGATAGAATTCAGTATACGCCAAACAGAGGACTTGACACAACACACTAGTTACTGTATTATTAATAATATTATTATTGTCTCCTTTAGTTCCTAGAGGAACATAGGGCTTCAGCCTCACGTTTCCATTGCGTCCGGTACTCTGCCAACGTCTTCACCTGGCTCCACGTCTGCCCACATGTTTTCATCTCCTCTTCACATAACCTCTTCCATGTCACCCTCGCACTGACAACTAACTCGCCGCTTCCTATTCGCGTTTCAATCGAGAGATGGCCTGTCTTGTGATGTCTTTTGATGGTTTTCTCAGAGTATGGCCAACCAACCTCCATTTCTTCCTGCCTATTTGTTTCACAATCGGTTCCTGTTTGGTTTGCTCCCAGAGATCCCCTACTATTGCTGATCTTTTCTGGCCGGCCATCTGATCTTGATTGGTATTGAGCGAAGACAACCTTTGATGACGATCTGTAGTTTGTTTGACGTCTGTATCTTGTTGACTGATTACACCTATAACTATGTGTTTGGCATTTTGTGACCTGTTTAACACTAACTAATATCTATAATTGTATATGTTGTTGGCCTTACATACCCACTTTGACCCAACTCAGTGAGTCTATGGTTTTGATATCATTTTTGTCAACTGCTTTTTTTAAACAGTGATACTACTGCTGTGGTTTTTTATCGTTGTAGTCACTACTCTTCCTGTTCTAATTTTTTATTTTCCCTTTGCTGGTGTTGTTCCGATTGCTTTCTTCCTTGTTTTCCTGATGCTAAGGGGAGCAACCCAAAATGTCGCTCTGTTGTAACTTATACATTCACGTAATAACCCCCTTCTCAGGCGTGAGGCAAGCAACCCCACCCTGTAAACAAAGTTCCCACAGAAACTTCAGCACGATGAGTCTCCTTGTGATAAAAGAAAAAGTCAATTTGGGGACATGGAACGTCCTCAGCATGTACGAGACTGGCAAAGCTGCTCAGATTGAAAACGAGATGAAAAGATACACTAGTTACCGACTAGTTAGTGTCCATTAAAAAATACCCAACACAGTTCTATGGGAGGTCAATTGCGAGTCCAAAAAGCTCAGTAGTAACCTTTCTGACTGCAGCATTGGGTGATGCGGGTTCGAATCTCGAAAGGGAGATGAGTTCCTTCCAGATTGCAGATACAGCTTGCTGTGACTGTACCTCTAGCCCAAAATCTAGGTCCAGAGCTTCCTACCGATTGCTACCAAATGTCTAAGATTTTATTATCCTCAATACAGGTAACCTCCTTCTCAGCACTAACTTCGATGTAGAGTGAGGTTTTGTCCCGGATATCAAAACCATCAAGAGACTAAGAATACTACTAGACCATCATATTTATTATACAGAAATAGTCAAAGATTTTCACACTACTCTCAAGTCTGTGTGGAGGTCAACAGCACTCAGCATCAAAAATAACATCCGGATTTTCAACTCAAATGTGAAGCCAGTCAGTGCTACTATACGGATCAGAGACTTGCACTGCGCGTCATAAAGAGCATCCCAAACAAACTACAGAACTTCATCAACAGCTGTCTTTGCTCAATACTCAAGATCAGATGGCCAGCCAGAAAAGATCAGCAACAGAGATCTCTGGCAATGAGCGAACCAACACAGCAGGAACCGATTGTGAAACAACAAATAGGCAGGAAGAAATGGAGATGGATTGGCCATACTCTGAGGAAACAATGCATCAAGTGACATCACCAGACAAGCCATTGCTCGAATGGAACCCAAAAAGGAAGCGGCGAGTTGGTCGTCCAATGGTGATGGTGACTTAGAGGAGGTCATGTGGAGAGGAGATGAAAGCATATGAGGAGACTTGGAGCCAGGTGAAGACTCTAGGAGAGAACCGAACGCAATGGAGACGCACGGCTGAAGCCCTATGTTCCTCTAGGAATCAAAGGAAACAGTAATAATAATAATAATCAAAAGAACCAATTTTCAAAAAAATAATGATAAAACAATATCGTTTAAACTTACAGCTAATCTTTTTGTATAACGTCTAACACGTGATAGAAATACCGTTTTTGGAGTAATATGCAATGTTTGTCTTGATTGAAATGAATGCGTTAGCATCAGATACTTTTTCCCCACAATAATTTCATCCATACATATACATTTTAATGGCCATGAATAAGTTAATATCATATTTTCATCATAAGGGTGTATGTCTGAATCGAATGTTTTTAAAACATGAAAACGAAACAATGGCTGGTAGTGATCATTTTTCCCAAACCACCATAATGTACCAGATATTCGAATAATAGCAGCTAAAAAGAAAAGAGTACAGAAAAAGAATGGATTCATTATGACAAACATAGATTGAGAAGATTTGTAGTTCAGGTGGATGATTTTGATGTAGTTGTGTTCTCTGTGCTGGATAGCTAATTTGCAAAGCTTTCGTCACCCCACTAGGCGACATACTTCAATTTGAACTGAGCTTTACAACCAACGCCTAATGCAGAATTCAAGACCAAGATAGAATAAGGGACTGGACAAACGTTTTCTGTAAACAGATTTCAGGGTTGCATTGACGCAGTGTCAACGCCTTCGCCGTATACAAATGCTGTAACCTGACACCGTTTGTACCATTTGGTGTCACGTTGTAGATAGTCTTGGAGCTGTGTGGCTTCAGTTCACCAAGTGCTCGAGAATTGAGCTAGTAACTGTCTTGCATTGTCCTTTTGCTAACTATCCAGGACAGTGTTCGAAGATGCGTTTGGAAAGTGTGCGCTTCGTGCGGCCGATATAACCAGCTACAAAGTAGCAGGTGAATTTACAATCACACACTGAAGTGGGCTAAAGTGGTAGTTCATTCTTCACACATCCACTGATCATTTGTCGGCTGTAGAAATTGATCCACAGCTCAGACGAAGAGGAGGCTTTTCTTGGTGATGTGGATAGGCGGTATTTCAGAATGTCAGCTGTGGTATCACTTTTAAATTCAACATTCAAGAATAGCAGTTTCTTCGGCACCGTTTAGGTTCTTTCAGGATTTTGCTTTACTTTCATGTTTTTCTCTATGAATCTTGAAGGATATCCATTTTTCATGAGCACTTGTGTGAGTATCTCCAGTTCACTATCGACTATATCACTGGTAAATATCCTCCTTATTCTCGAGGATAAGGAGGGGATCAGATTTATCTTTTTTCTCAAAGAGACCTAACTGTGAAAATCCATGCATTGACGATGTTGGCTTCCTGTAAATTTTTCCCGTGACACTTGTTAAATGGATACTCAACCACCTTTCGTCTCACTCCGTTTTATTAAATTTCTAACGCTTTCTTCTTCTGTGGCATTAAATACTACGTAATTTATAACTTTTATGTTTACCTTTGAAACTACTTCTATGTAATTATACCAGTTATATCACTCATATTACTTAGTAATGAACTATTATGCATTTTTGGTAAATATAAATACGACTGTACAGTCGCTGAAGATGATTTCGTCGATAAGGAAAATTTTCTTTACCGAATTTTCTTTTTTTTCTATTATAAAACAGAATGCAAAATTACATTAAACTCTTTTTATCAGTAATGAGTTGAATTAATTTTGAAGCAACATGCCTGACTATGTTATTTTAACCTCAGACAATGAAGGCATCAATCGTCATATAATGAATTCTTCATAGACATTTCCAGCTGTTGATGTGTGTGTGTGGATGTGTGCATACATGACAGTCCACTTGAATTCAGAGTTAATTTAGTTAGAATACGGATACATTCATCGCGAAAATAGCAAAACTTGCTGTTTGGATTCCATCACAAAATCTATTAATAAATACAATCAAGTTGTCACTAGAGTGAGGCTAAATGCTGATCGAAAACGATCCATCATCTCAGTCATATCAAGCACGGAAAAGTCTTAATTTTGTTAACTCCAGATCTATTTTTAACATTATTATGATTAGGGATGAAATAAATGCCGATGTAAAATAATATTGATCAGGTTCATATCGGCGGTTCTTTTCAGTTGCTTTCAACCTATAATGTTTAATTATACCAGTTATAATAAAATTTCAACATACACTTTATTCATCGTCATCATAAATCAGTCCTCCTGAAGTAAGGACTGTTCTACAAACGTCATACTAAAACAGAACATACATATGATAAGGTTTTTTGATGTGGTTATGTTCTCTGAGCTGGATAGTTAATTTGCAAAGCTTTCATCACCCCACTAGGCGACATCTTCAGCGCATACTTCATTAGTTTATTAATCATGTCCGTGTAGAAAGAGGATAAAACCAGCATCATCTACAAAATAAATTGTAACAACTGCGAAAAACAATACATTGGCCGAAGTGGATATCCTCTTCGTCTTCGTATCTATGAACAAAAGCTGGCTGTCAAAAGACATGAAATCTACTCTCTCATATCACCTCACTGCATAGAGCTAATCATGGACATCAGTTCGACTGGGACAATCAACGTTCAAATATCAGACAGAGGAAACACCAAGAATGCTAGAGAATTTTTAGAAGCCTGGTATTCCACTGAATAGTCAATCAAAAGACACAAAATTTACCAAATGATAAGAAGGAAATCTCACACACAAATGGTCAAAGTTCAAGTCGAGGAAACAATCAGTTCCAATACAAATAGCCTAGAGAGTGTGAAAACACACAAAAACAACCAGTCAAATCCAAGGTCATCAGGAGAGATCAGTAATGAACTCATGGAAAAACCTAAAGGCTCATCTCATCAAAATGAAGTATGCGCTGAAGATGTCGCCTAGTAGGGCGATGAAAGCTTCGCAAATTAACTATCCAGCTCAGAGAACACAATCACATCAAAATAAATATTATATTATTATTATTATCACCATTTTATTCCCTTGAGTTCCAAGTGAAACATAGAGCTTTAGGCTTTAACTTTGAAGTTTTAGCTGCAGCTGCTTTGTTTTTCAATTATTAACGCTGCTAGATCTCACCTCCAACCTTCTTTTTTTCGCCAGACTTACTAGAAGGTAACCCAACTCCAGATGAAGCTCATGGTTGACGAGTGTTATTCTACCGGTGAACGGCTGATGCACAAGAAACACACACATATACATTAGATCAAACACAAACGCATGAGCGTTACTGGTGATTCCCACATGGTAAGACACTCCATAATAAGGGTCAAATTGTTGTCGTAGACCAAGAAGCTTACCTCACTTGCTCACCCGACTATATCTATGAATTCAATGAGTGCCACAGATATAACTGTGGCGTGTGCTACTGACAATGTTTATCAGTAGTATATAAAGGCGCCTTCACCGGCACACAAAACACAGTAGGAAATGACGGTTTTCAGATAAGGTGTGCGCTACAAAGAGACACCAAATTCCAAATAAGCATTTTTTTCACCAAGTCTCTTATCCTCAGCCATTACATAACTTATCCTGGTACATTTCTAAGTTTGACGCAACACTGAAATGCAACTTATGTTTAAGTAAGTTATTCTGTCATACGATAACTTATCTGTGTGAAGTTTCTGTTCAGTAGGCATACTCATATCACAATTATTCTTTAACTGGCTAAATAAGGTTTGAATAAAGCAAGAAGAATAGTTTGTGCAGAATAAGATGGTACCATCATGCAATCGGTTGGCTTCTCATCAATTGCATACTGCTTAAAGAAATTATTAAGTGGTTTATGTACAGAACAGTTTCAACACACTTGCAAATATTATATGATGTGATGTCTGTCTGTATTCGACATAGAACTTTGCACATATGTGCGCCAGTTCAAGTCACCACACTCCATGTAGCACACAAAGCAAGAGAAGAAAGTAGAAGAAATGCATAATAGAGACAGTAAACAGAGGTGTAAAACAAAGGAATAGTAGTAACGAAGAACAATATAGTTTCATTGGAAATCATAAGTCACAAGGAGTGGATGCATCTGCGCCAGCTATTGAGAACGATTTTGAGCCATATCATCGATTGTCTCCAGCCATTGGTGTTCACCATCCCGAGGACCCCAACCAGGAAGTCTACATCTCCCTACATGGCTTAAACTAACTGTTGTGGATTTCACTGAATAGTGCCATGTTTTCTTTTGACCGCCGCTAGCTCTTTTCCAGCCTGACCCTATATCAGCTAACATTGCCCGTCGAGGAAGGCGATGACTAGGCATACGTAACACATGTCCTAATCATCTCAGTCGGTGTAACTTCACGACCTCGTCGATTGATTTCCTCTCCTTACCTAGAACTCGACGCTTAACCTCAGTATTGCTCACCTTATTATACCACTGTAACAACAAAAGACAAGGCCAGGCAACAGGTCGTTTTATTAAGGAAATCAAAGCATATTTATATATTTTCATGTACATTATTATTGATTAGTTAAGCAAACAAACACAGTCTTCTGATTGGTTGTTTTTCACTTAAAGTTAATTTTTCATCTCTTTGTGACTGTTTCTTGAATGTCAGATCATCTATATGTTAACTGTATCCGCCTACGCAAAGTCTGCTGTGGTCGATTTTTGAATCAGTCTTGTTCATATTTTCTCACGACCAATCTTGAGAACGTAAACATTGACGTCAATCACTGTCTACCAATTTGGCTAGTAGACAGCTCTCACCGCACCACCACCTAACACGGGAGATAGAACTCAGACACCTATGATCAAAGACAGCTAATATTTTCATGTCTTCCACTCTCAGTGCCCAGGTCTCACAGCCATAAAGGAAGACGGAATGGAGTGCTGAACAGTACACACGCCCTTTGGTCGATAGTCGGATATCACGTCTACGCCAGAGACAGCGTAAACTGGCATATGCTAAACTAGCCCTCTGTATTCGTACTGAGATTTCTTCAGAAATCAACCCGTTGGCACTGGCTGATGGTACTTCCCAAATAAGTGAAGCGGTCAACGTGCTCTACCACTTCACTCCCTATTTCTAAACTAGGAGTCAGTGTAGTCCAGTCCTGTAGCATCATCTTACATTTGGCGGGAGCGAGTCGCATGCCAAACATTCGTAGATTGCAGCTCAAGGTGTTCAGAAGACTCTACATTTTGTCAGCGTCCTCGCCTAGAAGGACTATATCGTCTGCATATTCTAAGTCAACGAGATTATTCCCTGGTAGCAAGTCAATCCCTGAGTCTCTGAAGTGAGTTACAGTTAAATCCATTAGTACATCTATGATGAAATTGAATAGGGATGGGGATATGATGTCATGTAATGACAGAAGGCTCTAAACTTAATAAACAGTGCTCAGAAAACTGAACTTTTTGACGTTTACCCAGAGACTTCAAGTTTAAACAAAAAATCAATGT